CCTAGCATTTACTAGATAGGGTAGTCTGGTATATATAATAATGTGTGTGTAGATAGTGAGTAATTGAACTGCAGTCAGAAGTATTGTTGACGATCGTTGATATAGCGTTTGTTATAGAGCGACTGTTGAAAATAAGTGTATCGTAAAGTTGTATTCGGAAAGAATAAACCAGTTTTATTAAGTGAGGACTTGTGTCGCTAAAGTTTCGTCGGAATGAAGTTACGGAAAATCAAATAACAAACGGAGACGTAACAATATCTTAGTTCGCAAGAAAGGTGCATTTACCCAGAGCGACTACCACTAAACACGTGACTGGTCAGTCTCATTTCAACATAGGTAAGACAGTAACATTTAGATGCACAGAGCTGGCACTATTTACCAGATAACATGAAAGGAACAAAGGTAGCTAGAACTGAATCAACTTAACGGCTTTCTTAACTAAGTGTTAGGTGGAATTTGGACATATACAGAATAAATGATAAATTCAGAGTACGTACTATGATATTAAAATAATACAGAAACGTATGGTATATTCAACCTAAGTTCGATGATCAGTCTTTAATCTTCAGCTCCTCTTCATTTACGATCACTTGTACTTTTCTTTCTCTTTCGCAACAAAATGAAGTGCTTTATCATTGTTTTAACTTCAACGCAGTCTCTTTTCTTTCACCACTAATATATATCCTTGAATCCCTAGTTGTTGCGAGGTGATTATATTCTAGGTTTATCTTTGAAACTATTGCGTATGTAGTTATTTTTGATATATTTTGATGTTACCCGAGTTCACTTCCTTTAAATTTTATAATTTTTTACTTTATCAATGTAGCAACACGTTAAAATAGCAATTTAAATGTGATAATCAAATGAAAATACAATCGTATGCTATTTTATTCACCACTGCTTGATTTTCAGAAGTTTGTATGGTTTTATTCTCTCTTTGCTACGAGTGCCGAAATTAATGATGTGACGCATTTTTTAAAGTATTTCCAGGTGTGTCGTAGAAGAGCCTACCAGTAGCTCAGCGTCAAGCTTGCAGGCTTATATGTATGACGCTAAAATTAGGGTTTTCATACCCGTGGTGAGAAGAGCACTGATAGACCGTTGTATAGCTTTGCGTTTAACAACAACGATACCAAAGACTTAGAGGACAAGGTTTGTGAAATACTGGTAATATTATATTTTTGCATGATGTATATTTCGAAAAATTTTATGTGCAAAAAAATTATTATTTGGACATTTTAACTCCTTTATAATGAAACATGGAAAATTAAAACGATTATGCATATTTAATAATTACTTGAAAATATTTGCCTAAACTACAATATCTCAATAAGACAACAGTGGAAAATATTTCTAATCAAAAGAGGGGTGGGTAGTTTTGTAACTTATTAATCTTGTATATGAATATTTAGTTGATATGTTCTTTGCAGTAACTTTAGATTTTCTATGTTTAAAATAAAAGTAATAAAAACTTTATTAAAATATCACTGATGCATAGGAGCGAGGAAACCGTTGGAATATACACATGATACCGACAGAAATAACTAATTTTAACTTACAGTTACACCGCTAGAGGATATATATATACAAACATATTCACGTGCCCTTCTAGTTTTACGTACTTGTGTCACACGGTTTGTGTGCGTGTTGTAACGAGGTAGTGTTGTCAATATTTTTAGTTAGAGATGTATTGAAATTAAGGTTAGAGATGAAACTAAAACTTTATTTTTATAAAATTTTGAAAACGTGCATTTTCGCTTATGAGCGCAACATACTAATACTGCAATAGTAGTTTAGTACATAAAACTATAATAATAATTATAAAGCCTAAAGTATTAATAATAATATTATAATGAATACTAATAGCCAAACCGCAGTTATAATTAAATTTTAATGAATAAAATTATAACTTATAAGTTTAAGTTGTAAATCCCATGCCTTTCGACGCAAGTGTGCAGTGCATAAATATCAAAATATTGTACATATCAATCTTTCTATATATATATATATATATATATATAGCACTTGCACTTGAATGAATAAGACTAAGAGTCAATAAGATTTTTTTTTTTTGCAACAACATGATTTTGTTAGATACCAAGATATTAATTTTTAGATAGCTCTATGACTCTGTATGAGTGAGTAGAACTTGCTTTGTGATGAAGTTCAAATTTATTGGAAGAATTGATAAGACCGTAAGGTGCTTAACGTTTGAGCAAGTGACTCCTTCACTGTGACCTCAATTCATTCTTTTTATATTCTTTGTGTTGTGTTCTGGGAATAGGGGAATGCAGGTTTAGGATGTGGAGATGGGTGGGCCAGCTTCTGGTTGGAACAGTTGTTTTTTAGTAGGGTGTTTGGCTTGTAAAGTGCATTAGTGGTTGTGGGATGCTGGTGATATCTTGCAGGGGGTTGGGAGGGAATGGATGATTTCTTGAAGGTTAAAGAGTGTATTTGGTTTTTTGCTTTTTTTTTATGGACCTAGGTGTGAAGTGACAGTTTCAATGGGCTGGTGGTTCCTTGCTGTCCGTAGTGTTGTATTATCTTGAGAAGGCAATGTTACTTTTCTAATAGTAATAGGATGGTCAGCTTATGAAATATTTGCTTTCAGGTGTAGTAGAATCTGGAGCATGGGTAACTTAAATTAAAAGCAACTTATTTTTTAGGGTCTGTTGTTGACCCTTCTGTATTAAAATAGTTTTATAATACTCTTCATGGTAACATCAGATTTTATAAATATGAACTAGTGTCACTCTTTAGGGTTTTCATATAGGTCTCAAGAAGTTTGGAAACTCATTAATTTTTGTCAGTTTTTAGAACATGCATATTCTTATTTCTTTTTCGTGTCGGGTTATTCATATGTATTTTGTTAGGACTGACTCGTTTAAACTATGTTTACGTAGAGGTGAAGTGAAGTTTTTGACTTTGGGGTGATCATGTTCTGGATTTTAAAAGACATTAAGCTAAAGCTTAGTTAATTATAATGGTAGAAAAGTTGAATATAATCTTAGTTTTATTTGCAATAGTAGTAGAAATTTTTGATATTAAATTGTAGTTTGCATGTTATATATTATTCAGTGCTCTAGATAAACTTTTTGACCATATGAGTATTTTACCTCTTAAAATAGACTGCAATGCTAAAATGTTTTTTTTAAATTTTTCTTTATTTTTGGGCAGATGTTTTTATTCTTAATCAGCTGAAGGATTACGTACAGACTTTGTTTTTCATCTCCCAGCTATGTAACAGGTATAGCTTTTTGTGTCAACGATTACCAGCCATAGATAAGGTTAAGGTACTTTGTCTGTTTCTGTTTATAATGCCATATTTTTACATTTATACTTTTATTATTTTCTTCTCTGTGCATTATGTCATCAGTGCAACTTGTTGCTCAAGCTTAGATGCCCTTGTTTTTTTGAAGGCCTCTCAAGGGCATTGTCTTGGGCAGTAGCCTCAGCTTCTTGGTCTTTAAGAATATCACAGAGCATGTTTGTCACCAAAGCTCATAACTAGGAGAAGCCAAGGTCAATACTTTTCTTCTTCATTCTTTGATTTTGAGTCACTCTTGATTTTTGGATCATGCATTTTGGAGGTTCTGGTCTTTCATCTACATACGTGCACTTACAACTGCTTATTCATGTTATATTTGGAATTCTCATAGAGAAACTGCCCTTTTTTAAAACTTTCAAGTTTGTACTGGACTGTTTCTTAGATACTACTCATTCTAATAGATGGGTCTTTCAAAGATGTTTAGTATTTTCAATAGTATTCTGTTGTTCCTTAACTCATGGAGTCAGTTGGGGCAGGTTGACCAGAACAGACTTATTGATATTTGGAGGATATTGTGTACAACCACTTAATATCAGAGGCTTAGGAGGCCTACATCTTTCTGGGTATTTATCACCTCTTCCCTTTATCTAGTGACTGGTTCAACTTCACCCTCTGGATTACGAAATGCAATTTTTATTTCAGGTGACACATATGGGGATTCTCAATCCTAATCCAGCCCTTTCTTCTAACTGTTTAAGGTTCAGTTGTATGAGATAGGTAACTAATTTTTTCTCTTTCTGTTACTCATTTCTAACCTTTTCATGGTTCAGAATATAACTTTTTCAACAGTTTTGTCTCCTCTGCATATGGCCTTGTAAATAATGAAATTGATATTGGTGAATCATTTTTATTTTCATATACTCAGTGACTCTATCTCTCTTTTTTTTTGTCCTTATTATATCTTCATTTGTATGTGGAAACCACTAATTAGTTTCAGGGTCTTCCCTTCAGTCTGACTAGTATTCTTTCCTTTCTGGTCCATTTTTTTCTGTTGACATAAACTTTAATGGTCTTGAGTCAGTGTCTAGTACTGAACAAAATTATATGAGGAATTTTTTTGGAAATTCTTTATTTCTAAATTTTCATGGTAGCCTTGTCTTAAACATGGATGAGGTGTTTCAGAAGATATTGTGTACTTCTTGATGGTTAGTCTTCAGCAGAGCTGGGAAATCACATGCTTGTATATGTTCTGACAAAGTGGGGAGTTCAGAGCATTTACATAAATTTCTTGAAAACATTATGAAATTCTTTTGGATTTTGATAGCTCTATGGGCACTGCCTGTATCACTAAGTTGGTGATACATATTCACTAGCTTAGTGCATGGACGCAGTAGAACTTTTTGTTTGGGTAAGTGCTTTCTATCAATTTATGAAGTTGCAATTTTCCAGGAGAAATAGATTTGTCCATCTCACTTTTTTATCATCAGTCAAATGCTTTGACCCAGACTTGGCTCATAAGGTTTCTACATACTTATACCCACTTTGGGTCCTGATGAGTTACTCAAGCTCTACTAAATTCATTAAAGGTTATATTCAATATGCATCAGTCCAGAACATCAATTTTACATTAATAGCTTTTGATTGAAAAAGATATTCCTCATGATTTACTAGGTGAGTTGCTAACTCATTCAAATAGTCTCCATTGACTGTTTACCAATAAAAATGGAAGTTTTACTTCAAGTGATGTAGATAATGGCTTCTTTGTCATCTTTACTAGAGCTGGGCAATTAGTGGAATTTGGTAATTGATTAATTATCAAGCTTATTAATCAATTGCATTTAACTAATTAATTATTCTCACGTGAGACTTGGATAATTGTAATAATTGAAAATAGTTATAACTAGAAACTAATTTTTGACTATTTAGATTATTTTTTGGGATATTAATCAATTTAATCACAATTTTGATTAATCATTATCTTGCATGGCAATAGTTGATAGGTAATCGGTTATGTTAATTAATTCAGTTATTTGTCCAGCTCCATCCTTTACCCCTTACATGATTTTTACTTCTTGTTTGCAGTCTCTACTCTGCAGGTTATTGGGCTACCTTAAGCTGTTGTTTCTTTCTGTAGTAGTCATTTTCCTTTTCAACTTCCTGCTTTGATGGAACTGTTTAATCTTTTGGTGTACTAAGACCTTTTACTTCTAATATTTTGGATTGCTTTGGTTTCCAGGCTTTGACACAAAGCTACTTATAATGTAAAGTTTCTTTTGTTAGAAAATGTATTTTTTGCTTTTATTGCATTTTTTCATTGTCAAACTACTGATATTAACTGCACTATCTTTTTTTTAAGGGATCATTATATTTATATCCTGATTAGAGGTGAGGGGGGGGGGGCTGTTTGCTTTAAATGACCAGAATGATTTATTTTCAATTTATATTAATCATTTTTTGTTCCCTGTAAACGCAGTGAGCTATTGTGTCCTCACTTAAGCTTTAGCTTTTTAAAATTTTCTGCAGTAGTTTTATATACTGTGTTAAGAGTCAGTCACTTGGGAGCTTTTGCTTTTTTTTCTTATGTGATGGCTTAAACTGCTCTTCTGTTTTGTATGTGATCATTTGAATTTGGATCTGACAGACATTACAGGTTTATTCTCATTAGACTTATCACCTTGTTATGTCCTTAGCTGTTGCTGGTAGAGTTCAGATTAAAACAAATATTCCATTTTGTTGTGGAAAATACGTTATACTTTTGGTGAAACCCAGTGTTCCGAAGGCTTGATAGTCACAGATGTTTTGCAATAAATGTTAAAATTGGATAAGAAAATAAATTTGTAGGTCCATAATAGATTAATGCAATCTTAAATGAAAAGATTAAAGGGTACATCTTGGTGGTGGTTCAGGGGACCAGCTGGCTTTGATGGCTTGTTCTCATTTTAAATACAAACAACAGAAATATTTGAATTGACACTGTAGTGTACAAGCTCATTGCACTGGTTCAATGTGAAGATAATTTTACTGACTGGAAGCTTTTAACATGTTTAATGAGTAGGGAATACAATATTCATTGTCACAGCACTATGGAATAAGAATCTTGAATATTCATTATTTCATAAGAACTAGATTCCCAAATCCAATACTGATGGGTAAATATGTGGGCTCTGCAGATAACACTATACATGCATACAAGAAAATAACATTGTGGTAATGAGGATAAGCATTATCCATCCATCCATGAGAAATTGTAGCATTTTAGGTCACATCCTGGACTATTTTTGTCATAACATTTCACAAATTTAACCACACAATCAATTTAACATTTCAACTATTAAAACATAACAAAAAAACTTGCATCTTCAGAGTAATGGGCCTTCAGACTAATGAACCATCTCCATACTTTCACTAGCCATTCTGACTTTTACCTGTAGTGGTTGCCTAATCTTGTTTTTATTGATGTTAAACAGATGCATTTATACTTTACTGGATTTTAATATTTTTGTCCTTATGGATCTCTGTTTGGGGTAGGAGTGCCTTGTACCTCTGCTCTGTGTTTTTACTTCTGGATAGTTTGCTATTCCTTTGATGTGTGCCTTACCACATATATAGGGTTTGGGTGTACAAAACACATTCAGTATCATGTGGGTGGTATATTCAATCTCACTGCACTACTCTTAAGATAACCACTTCAATGGTAGTAATATCAAAGCTGGTGAATTCCCTGTAAATCTTTCCACATGTGTACATTTTGTACCAACGTGTGTTACTTGACAAGTTCTTGGACCACCTGTCATGTTGTCATTGGGTCAACAATAAGATGCTTCTGATTGTCTCCTCCTCATGAGAACCAGCACCATTGCCTCTGGCCATGTGTGGTTCTTTGAATTTCATGTATTTTATTTTATGGTTTGTATATAGAAAGAGTGCATCCTTATTCTGTAGAAGTAACAAGTATAGGTGTTTCTCTGCTTCTTCCTGTACTACTTCCGTTTTAATGTGGGGTTCTAGTTCGTGGTTATAGTAAAGTTAATTTCAACTTAATGTTTTAGCAGTAAAATATAATTCAGAAAGATCCTTCTTCCATAATTATTCTAACCTTCCTTCGCACTCTGGTAGGTTGGAGAGAAAATGTGATCATATGCAGTTGTACAAGTGCAAGCTAGATGTTAATTTGAGATAAAAGTATGTGATAGAAAATGGCTGACCTAGAGATTCTGAAAATAGAGGGCATAAAATACGATTACCAAACACCCAAAAATTGTTTTATTTCACAAACTATTACAGATGCAAGTAATAGTCAATAATTGAGGGAGAAGGAAGTAGGGAGGGAAATAAAATAATGATAATTCTTTGCAAAAACAAGAAACACAACTTAAAATTATTGTAGAAGTACGTTTTTATTATGTTTTTCAATTAAAATGTTAATTTTATGAATAACGGTTACTTCACTGTTGCAAACTGAATGACACATGATAAGAGTTATTGTTTTCTTTGCTTTCAGCTAAACTACATCTATTTTATTTATGTAGTAGATAACAAAGATGCCAATATTGTATTCTGTGGTATCGAGAGGTACAACTGTGTTAGCTAAATATGCTAGTTGTGCTGGAAATTTCTTGGAAGTTACAGAACAGATTTTAGCCAAAATTTCTCCAGAAACTCCAAAACTTACCTATTCCCATGGGAGGTGAGTATAGTAGTTGTGCTAAAGGTAAACTGTGTTATTATATATGAAAAACATTGATTTTCCTAGTCTGTTTTGGATGAAAGTTTGATTTAGTAACTATTTAAGTAAACTTTTTTTTTCTATATAAGATATAGTATGGTTATGATATGAAAAATTTTTACCTCATATTAAACAAAACAACCCATACCATTACCAACTGAGAACTACAGTTTTGAAGTATCAGTTTTTATTGTCCGTTTTAGCTTGTCAGAAGAATGGAACTTTTTATGATACTAGTTTAGGAAAACACTTCTTGTGAACCTTATTTTTATCTCTACCCATATGCTCTCCAAAATTGTGTTTGAGAGTGCCAAGCTTTCAATGTTGTAAGTAGTATTTATTTATGTGATGGTTGATTTAGTAAACCAACTTTTAGGAGGTCAGTATAGTTTGAACTATGATCACACAAACATCATCACATGGTTATCATTCCTAATACACCAGGCAGTAATTTGTAATATGTTATGTCATTTTGGCTGCATATTTACATGTTTAGGTTTGTTCTGTTCTCTTCTACAATTTGAGTTACAGTATGCACTTCTAGTTTGGCCTTTCCAGCTGTAAAAAAACAACTTCCATACTTTTTTTGTATGCCTTTCCTTTACTTATTGGTTCTTTGATTAGAATTGTTTTCCTATTCAGCAAGTGTTCGAACTTTCAAATTTCAAGATTTTGATGTTATACTTGTAATTAATGATCAGTCTCGCAACCAAAACCAGTTTCTTGCTTCTTTTTGCATTTATTATAATGTTCATCAGTTATGCTAGATACTAGATAGATGTTATTGTCTGATTTTGAGTTTTCTATAGATTTTCTATTAAAAATTTGGGCTTCTTTGGGAGCTATTTGAGTGTTATCATGATTGTATACATACTTCCTCTAATGAAACATATTTGCGTAAGAATATCACAACTAATAACTGTTAAATTTCCTCAACTTTCTGCCTTTTATATATAAAACCACAATTCAAAGATATGAGTTGGTTGTTTTCATAAAGTATACAATACTTACTTCTGATATTAGCTGTCTTTGATTTATAATATGTTTCAATATCACAGTAAAGTAATCACTTCCGATACATTTGCCATCTGAAAGTATGTGCTGTAATATAAAACCAGGAAATATTACAATGACTTCCAATTTTCCAATGGGATGCACCTTTATTTCTTAGTAAAAAAAGGGCCTGAATTCATTAAAAAAATATAATCAGTACTTGTCATTTCTTTGTTACATGTAAACATTTCAAATATATCTCTCAAAATTTACACTTAAAACAGTAATCAAACTTTTTTTGAGCATTTCTTACTTGCTTCATGGTAATTATTTTAATAAGAAGTATTTATACATTGACAAATGTAGTGTAGAAAGTGGTACTAACAGTGGAGTGGGTATAAAGTTAATGAAAATAAACAACTTTTGTGGTCTTGTAAAATTTTGAATTTATTTATTTGAAAAATAAAAAACAAACAACACTATGGTAACTTATTTAATGCAGTTGATGTTGTTTTAAGCCTTTTTTTTGTTGTTTAAGTACCTTTATTGCAATTTTCATTGGATATTCAGTAATAGTTCTATATTAATTATCACAAAGCACTCCTCTTTGCAATGTGCATGGATATTAAAGTTCCAGATGGTTCTCTTATTTTAACACAAGTCCTTGGGTGATAAGTGTTCAGGAAATGTCATTCCATTATTAGCAGCTTTTGGCTGGTGGTAGATGAAAAATATTGTCATATTATGTTTTACATTTTAAATTGATGAAAATATAGAAATTAGCATTTTACATGATTAAGAGTCCTGTGAAGATTTTATGACAATATATAGTGGTCTTGCCTCTGAATCACTGTGATATTGTAAACCATCTATATGTAAAAAACTAAAATTGTTTTAAACAATTTATGTTTAGTAAGATATAATTAACTCTTGAGTCAACTATAGGTTCGCTTTTAAGTAATTATATTTCCTGAAAGTTGTCTGATCCAAAGTTTTGGCTGTGACAAAAGATAGTATGCCACTACATTTTTCCAGCTAGAATATTTTTGTATTGATATTGATACACAAATAAGTTTTTTTTTTTTTTCCCCCTGTGTTTATGTTCTTTGGCAATGTTATACATGTCGTACTTATCTAGTAAGTGTGTGTAAGCACAATTATTTTCATCAGAATGCTATCATAAAAAAAAAAGTTGTTGTGTTTTAAAGCAATTTTGATAATCTATACTGTACAATTAAATTATTTTCTGTATTTAAATTGCCACAACTTTAGTTCTTCAGTGTCATTAATGAGGAAAAATGGACTGACTAGTTTATATATGAATTCATTAGCTCTATTTGAAATTTTTCTTGGATTTATGGTTTTTTTACATTGCTTCTGGAAGAGGTAAGTTTTAGGAGGAGTTATAAGAAAGTGGAAGTTGCCTTTAACTATTTAAAAATATTCATTTATTTGCTTTTTATGCTAATATATAATACTAAAAACATGGGAATTTTAGGGCTTTAACTTCAGGGCTACTTCTACATTCCACGATGAATCTTGAACCTCTAATATTTTTACATAGTGTCAAGTTTTTCACAGAATTTCCTGAGAGAACCATATAATAATAATAATAATAATAGAGAGAGAGAAAAAAAAGAGTTCATTTGTGCATGTAAACTATTCTGTGAAAATATATAGCATAATATTTTAAAATGTATATATAT